ATATTGATGCGACGATGTAATAAGAGTGCACGCCTCAACGTCGATCAGTGCTAACAACAAATATCTCCAGCCACGAGCTCGTATGACAGAAATTAGGCCATTCCCTACACCCCTACAGGACATCCACGTCGTGTAGACTAAACACATCATCACGTAGTGTGGAACATTTTGCCCTGTCTCGCAAAAACGATAATAATTAATTAGCCGCTCAAAGTTTCATAACCTTGAAATTGCTATAATTTAGTTACTTTAATTTCCGATGCTAAAGGCATAAACAGTTTTTTTCGAATGAATAAGTTACCTGTTGGGAGCGAGAGCTTGTAGGAACCGGTGTTTATGTAATGATTTATGAATGTCATGAAGCACAGCACCAGCGAGAGAAACTGGCCCATTATTATCGCCCTCCATACCGCCCTATTTGATAATTCATTAATAAATTGGTACATATTCCAAGAATGTACAAATGTGTACCTTAAAATATATCTAAATATAATACTACATGATATTGCATTTGTAACAGATTTTTTTAATATCTTAAAAGTCTAATATCTTTAAGTATTAATAATTTTGTATTATATGAAGATTATGCATTTCGCGGGTTTCTTCCGTGTTCAGATTCATTCTTGGAATGCCAACGTTTCGTGAACTTTGTATTTCACTTCATCAGGACAAGGAACAGCCTGATACTCAATATCAAGCTCAGTATCAAGCTATTCCTCGCCCTGATGAACTGCAAAATTCATGAAACGTTGGCATTCCAAGAATGAATCTGGACACGGAAGAAACCCGTGAAACGCATAATTTTTATATAGAAAGAACCCGTGGAAGTCTCAAGAATATTAATTTTGTATTATATCAATAATTTTGTATTATATTTTTTCATCAATTAATGTCAATTAGTGTTACTTTTTAATGCATAAAGATTAGTATTTAAAATTTATTTATTCTCAATAAGAATATATCTTATTTTAGACTGCATATGTGAGAACACAATCGATTAGAAGCCTATACTGGAAATTGAATCTTTAATGTTTTTTTAAATAATTTCTATGTGAATTAATATGCTAAATATATATCAATAAAGGAATGTAAAGCCAATGAGAATCGATACAGTTGTACATGTGTAATCAAAAATAATACGAGTATATATGTCAATCACCAATTACAGACGTTTCGATCATAGGCTCTCATACGCTCTCAAGACTTAGTTATAATTACATGCGCATTATAATGGATGATCATTATGTTGAGTACAATGTAAGTTTTATCCAACTGATACAATCTATTTTAATATTTAGACTATGATTAAAATTTCATAAATTTCATACATTAATTCGATTTTAGTTAAATAACTGAATTCTTGTTTGAATATCCAGTTAAGTACAACAATAATGAAGTTCTTAATTTTGGACAACAGCCTAACGATTTACTGACAGCATTTGCCTTATTGTTTTACCTCGCATTAATTTTGATTCCGATGATTTATTGTTACACTGAAGATGATCTAATCCTATGGTCGAAACGTGTAATCTGTAATTGATCATTGACATATATATTATTTTTGATTACATATGTATTGTGTCGACTCTCATTGGCTTTACATTTCTTTATTGATTTAATCTTTGGAGGCTTTTTTAATTTTAATTTTAAATATATAATTATTTAATGTATAGTTATATAGTAAATATAATATATATAATATGTATAGTAAATATATAATTTTTTAATATTTATTCTTATTTGAACTATACATCGAAATGATTTTTCGAACTTATAAACGCAATCAAACTATAGTAATATCACAAATTAAGTTGATAAGTAGTTTAATAATTTGATACTCAATCTGGCATCCTATTAGAAAGATGTTAATGTATTGAAAAACTGTAAATAAATTTATTGTGAAAAATTACTTCGATCGGGAGTCGACCCGGATCTCTTGTATTTCGTATATTTATATATTCTGTTGAAAGATTTATGTAACTATACAACTATACTAACCTAATTTTTCTAATTATAGATTAAAACATTTTTTTGATAAATAGTTAAAATAATCAAATCAGGATTAGAGCAACGAATTACCTTATAAAGAGCATTAAATCCTCCATACATCGAGATTTGATTATGCTCATATTGGCATGTTATCTTAACAGACACAGACGTCCATTAGCACGCCGATTTAAACAGAAGGTCCCAGTGTACGGAGAATTTAATGGTCTTTATGTGCTAATTTATTCCCCTAATTTTAATTTTATTATTTTTAACCGTTTAAAAAATCGATTTTATGCTAACTTGTAAATTGAAAAAAATTGGAATGCCCATTAAAAATGTTAATAATAATACTAAAAATGTTTACATCATAATTTAATGCTATATGTTTTTAATATACTTTAGTTTAAATTACAGTGCACTTCACGCCTTAACCAACCTCGAAACGTATATTATACAAGAAAAAAATATCTAAAGTAATAAATATATAAGAAAAATATTTATATTATAATTTAGAACTAATTAAGTATTAATTTGATAGTTTTCTGTTGCAAGATGATGTTTTTGTGTTATTTCAGGCATGTAGCGCACTGAAATTAAAGTTAAATTACCGAAATTTAAACTGGATTTTAATTTCGATAATTTAATCTTAATTGAAATTTAATTTTTAAATATATCTTGATAGGATGTATTAAAAGCACATAGTGCTAAATTATGATATAAGCATTATCATTATTGTTATTATTTTTAATGGGCATTCTAACTTTTTTAAAAGTTAGCATAAAATCGATTTATGTTGTTAACATAATTAGAGCAATCAAAATTAAAGCAATAAATTAGTACATAGAGAGCACTAAATTGTCTATACATCTTATGATTGTGCTCTCCTGATTGTGCTTGTGTTAGCATGCTAGCTTAATAGCACAATCAAATCTCTGTACGGAGAATTTAGTGCTCTTTATGTATTAACGTATTGCACTAATCACTAGGATTTTATCCTAATACGTTTTCGTTTCTTCTACTGATTTGATTCTATTTAAATCAATGTCTATATGTTGTGAATCTCATTTAGATGATTTTTTGTAACAATATCTTTTACAACTGTTAAAAATTGTGCAAATCATCAACGTAATCGTGCATGAAACATCACAATTATCCCGATATTTACCCGTCACAATTACTTCGTACATTGAAGATAGTAGAGTAATTATAATGTTTAATTAAAAAGTATTATACATTATTAATTATGCTGTATCTTTAACACAAAACGTTAATTTAAGTAATCATAGTAATTCATAGTAATTAGTAATTTTAAAACAATGAATATTTAAAACGACATAATCTGGAACAAATTGACATTGAATTGATATTTGCAAACTTTAGTAATCTAACCTTTTTATAATACTTTACTCATTTGATAATTATTATAACATAAAATTTTTGTATTTCGAACTTGTGTCAATTTAAAGTCAAATTATCTTCGAACATGGAATAATATAAAATATAAAGTCTTTTTAAATTTTAATACATAAAAAATTAGGCATTGTCACAATTATTTCAGTTGAGCCTATTTTAAAAAATAAGAAACTGTGATTTTCTCTAAATAGAAATTTAGATATTGAGATTAAATTTAACTAAATTAAATATCTTTTATTTATGTCCCGATATATTTAAATACACTTGACGTTAGTCAGACCAAGATTGGCTGTATTGCGCTTTCAAAGCGACTATATAATACAGACAAAGGCATAAGAAATACCGCGTAAAAATAAACGCTTAATTTGGATGACAGATAATAGTTTATAGTGGCAAATTTTTATATCAATCATACAAAAATGGTTGAAATTATTAAAAATATGTAAGCTTAAATGCACATATCTTAACATAAAGATCTATGAATTTCACACACCCAGAAATCATGCAAAAAATACACCAACACTAGCACATTCTGAATTTTGGAAATTGTATTATCACGTATATTGATTTATTCTATTTTTATTATTCTGATTTTTGAAACTTCGACTGAAATATATTAAATCATCGTGATTGCATCACGATTGTTGTTATGTCAATTCTGAAAAACTACGACGAAACGTAGCTAAACACCCGCCACTTTTATCCCTGGGTCATTCGCCCCCTTGCGCCCGTCCCCACCGACTTTACTGGGCGGCACAGGGCGGAAAATACACGCAAAGGCTCCTGTGAGCGTCTAAGGTGATCACTTCCACGTTTACTCACGTACCATCGGCCTAATTCGGATATGTAATTTTCGATTTTGTCGCAGACCCCATTCCTGGCCTGCATCGCCGAATTTTGAGCGCCGTGACGATCGCCCGCCGATCCTCCCATGCTATGGTGCATTTTCACCCTGAAGGCGGCTGAAGGCTCTTCGCCGGTGAGTGAGTACTAATCCGATGCGCTTGCGCGACCTCCTTCCGCCGTTAGTGCGGAGGGACACGCTGTTACTCTTGTTGTTCCTCTCTCATTTTCCCGGGGGTGCGTGTCGCGACGGGAAATGCGAGATTTTACTATGCAGGGATAGACATCGATACGACACGGCGTCATAACGTCTTGCGGAATTTCGCTAGTGCTTCATCGATCTCAAAACTGATTAAGAGGAACGAAGTCTTTTTTGTTTCCGATTCTCTTT